GAGAGAGAGAGAGAGAGAGAGAGAGAGAGAGAGAGAGAGAGAGAGAGAGAGAGAAAGGGGGCAGAAAAATATCGGTATTAGAAGTAAGAAGGAGGAGAGAAAGCTTATTAAATGACATTTTTGATCATTTTTTTGTCAGATAGAAAAATAGATAGAAAAAGAAAAGTGATAGACAAATTTTAAGTAACTCAACATTTCTTCTATCGAGTGTTATCCTTCAAAAGTTATCCTACTATGTACACTATAATGGTGTCCGGTAACCGAGAATTTCATGAATTATTACTTCTTTTTTCTATCTGGGACAAGTGAGATTGTTTCGACTTACGTTGGATTGGATCCAACGAGAGTACTACGCCCGTTATTAAGTACGGTAGTATGACTGGTGTTCTCATCGTCACCTTGCGACCATCGTTTTCTCCTCAGAGATGGCCGTGACAAGCGCCACGAGTATCCTCTCTGTATTCTCGGTGGACTGATAAGAGGGAGAAAAGTATCAGGGACACGGGAACAGAGTATTTATCATCGATACGAAAGAGAGAACGTTCAAATATAGCAAATACCTGGAGCTCGAGTCCCTCGTCTGGGGATTAACAACGGCCGTGACGAGGCTTATCCGTCTCGGGAATTGGCTAGCTATTAAGTTATTCGCCGGTATTTTATGGGACACATCGGGTAGCTTCAACAACCCTGAGGGTATGCTGCACTGACTCTGTAAATACAGCGCGCTCGTGATTATTATATTTTTTGTGACACAACTGTTCTCTAATTCGACATTCGAACGATATTCGATAGAAAGCTTTCAGCCGCGAAATCGTCTGAGAGAGAAACTTCATCGAGACTTTTGCATTCTACGCAAGAGCAAATTTAATACGAAAGAATAAACTTCCATTGCGGGCATCAATGTGGATGCATCATTACGTATGCAATGCTTTACTCTCTTGTATTTTACGTTACGATATTTTAAATAGTAATTATTTAGAAAAGGGAACACCTGATTATACCTTTGTATATGTTGCTAAAGTTATGATCTTGAATTTTTGAAAATTTTTAGGCCGCGCGCTTATTTTCCATTAAAATTTATTAGTAAAAGAAGTTCAATAAAACGAACGACTTTCAACTGACTTTTATATAAAAATAATAAATATGAATGCGTACAGAAGACATGTCTTCTCCCTCAAAAACAAACCTAATTGGACTCAACTCAATATAATTTCTTAAAATTTGTTTTCAATAAATATTTTAATAAAGGATATATATATATATATGCTCTGAAAAAATTAATTTTTCGACCTACGTTTACTAAACATTTTTTACTCAGTATAATAAGTACTATTTATCCTGTAAATCTTGAAACTTTCTTTTGAATATCCTGTATAGTAAAAAAATTACGTACATTTGTCTCATCAAACTTTATTCGTTAATAACTGTTTAATGGACAATGACTACCGGCTGAATATTTCAAAAGTTATTCAAGATCATGACCTTGACATACACGTGAGTGAGATGTTGTCTTTTCTAAAAAAATTACTTTTTAAATTACATTTAAAATTTCAAAAACCACGCAGTAATATCTTTTGTGAGAAAGAACGAACGGCAACATTTCGAGGATTGCTGCCTTGTAAAACTCGGCGATTTAATGCCGTCGTAGACAATCTATGCATTGCAATCCATCAACCTCGAGTGTCTCTCGCGAATTGCGACAAACAATTTGCCTTGTGTGTCGCCACACCCGAGAGTAGTCGTCTATCGAAATGAAATGACATACACCAGATCGATCGATGGACTCAATTGAAAGAGCAGTTACGGGATAAACTGCCCGGTAATTGAGATCTCTGTAGCCGACATCCAACGTGGTGTTCGGGGAGTCTTGAGGGGTGGCCGCCGTGTGAGTGATTATCGGCGGCTGCCCCGACACGCCCATCATCTTGCTCTCCTTCTGGATGTTACATTTGGGCTCATCGATCGGTTGCTTCCACACCCTGTTCTGTTTCTCTCTGTTGTCTTTGTACTTTCTCAGCTCTTCCGCGCTTTGGCACGAATTCTTTCTGTCCTGCGAATGATGCAAGGTGACGAGATAACGCCGTGCGATCGCCGAGATCGATATGCCGATCAGCGGGATCCTTTAAGGGGACTGGAGGGTCAAATTGCCTGAAAATCGTGCTTGTTTCTTTCACAATTTTTTATGACAAGTGTTATTTTGACGTTTTATACAACCTATAAAGAGAAGAAACATAATTTTGATGATCAAATACTCAATATAAGTGTATGGTACATGCAGTTAAAATATATTTGGTTCTTCTTTTCAAGATCGTCATTTTGCAGTAATATCTTGACTCTCGATGGTTCAGTTAAGCTGAATTTTAGGTAGAAAATTTCCGTAAGTTTGTCGTTATCGTGTGAATCACTATAATAGAAATTGAGTGAAAGTTAACAAAATTGCAAATATAATATGGAATATTATTAAATTTTCAGTTCTTTTATAGTAAAAAAATTAATATTTCAAAATTAAACATTTTCACGAGTTTGAGTGGTTCACACGATAACGACAAGCTTACTGAAATTTTCTATTATCAGGCAATTTGACTCTCCAGTCCCCTTAATTATTACGACGCTAACATCTTGCGGCTCCGTACAAAAATAATTACGATACAATCATTTGCCATCGTTTATATTACATTTTTTACTAGTGATCACTACATAGTGGTTACTATGTTTTTGTAATGATAGCAAACTAAGTGATTGTAGCTTATACATCCACACTTTGATAAATTCGATAAATATGGATAATAATTTAGATTTTATACAAAAGATAAAAATCTTGAGATATATATTATGGAACCTACAATTTTAAATAATATACGAACTAAATTGACCGTTGCGATCCCCCTTTCCAGTTCTTGTGTGTGAAGTATTTCAGATTAACATTTAAAATCTTAAAGTTTCACAACTATAAATTATAATTTACAGTTTTATTAGTATAATTTATAAAACTAATATAATATAATATAGAAGAACATATATAAAAGGAAGACTTTTTAGAAAAAAATTTAAATTATATTTAGTATATAATTTTGGTAAAAATGCTGTATAGAAGGCAGGAGTATTTCAGATTAACATTAAAAATCTTAATTTCACAACTATAAAAATATATGATATAATTTATAAAACTAATATAATATAATATAATATAGAAGAACATATATGAAAGGAAGAGACATTTTTAGAAAAAATTATAAATTATATCTAGTATGTAATTTTTGTAAAAATGCCGGGACAGGAGGTTGCCTTTGATAATATATATTGACATCAAGATCATTGGAAGGTGGTTCTATTCGGCATTTTTACTGTAATTTTTTATAAATTTGCTGTTTTTATAATTAGTTCGAGATATTTCGAATGAAGCATCGCTTTGTTATATTTGTGTCGAAACTGTAAACAAAAAAATACAATAATCTCAAAGGCCAATTAAACTAATATAAAAAAGAATAACATAAAATTAATGTAAACACAAGAATACAATGAAAAGACAATAGTACAATCAAGTACAAAGGTTACAATCATTTAAATCTGAAATATATCAAAAACTAAAAAGGCTCCTCGCTGAGTAACTCAGAACGCGTATTATTTATAATCACTTTACATAAATTTAAGATTCATCTGTTAATATTATGTTAATATCAATAGTTAATAATTTTGATTCTTATTCTTTGTTATCAGCAGTAATCGCCATAAATTCTTATATATATATAAAGAGACGCGGCAGCGTCTCGCGTCAAGTGAATGCGCAAAGCGAGGCGTTAATTTTAATTACTTTACGCATATTAAATCTTTTCAAATATTTACAGAGTGTGTCTCACAGTACTCACGGCTGTGGTTTGTTCGCTGCGAAACATTTGAAAAGAGAAGTGGACGAAAAGAATATTCCACAATAGAAGTAAATTGATGTTTTGGGTCAATCCTTTGCGATTAATCTTCTTCACATGACAGCGACATAGAATAAACGATCGAGCATGGAATACTTTGACAGGGTTTATTTATTAGAAGTGATCGGACAAGTACCTGGGTGTACGTATCGCTGTCAGAGATTGAATGCGATCTTGACACCCTCGATGATCCGTCCTCGCTGCCCATCCCGGCCTCTTTCGCGGCGAGCCTTTTTTCCATTTCTCTCTGTTCTCGTTCTCTCCTTTCGTTTCTCTGTGAAATACATCGTCAATTATCACGTTATATCTGACACATGTGTGCCCGCATACAGATACGACGATTCACGCACGGTCGTGCGTTAAAATTTCAGAAAACCTATAAATATTGTGTGTGAGTGCAAAAAAGTTTTGATGGACTTCGTGATAGAAAAATGAATCAAGTAATTTTATTAAAAGCGACTTATTCTTTCTACCAAGTAATCCCTATTGTTTCCTATTATCTTCCACCAACGTTCTGGCAGCACTTGTAAGGTTTCTAAGACGATATCCGGCTTTTCATCTAAAGAATGGAGTAATTTTGTAGATTGTGAAAAGAAGCAAGTTTTCTGCTAAGGCTGTATTCTTGAAATATATTGCATACAATATTTCTATGAAAAGCTATAATATTTTTAAAATTTTTAATATCGTTATTTATAATATCGTTACGATTTTGATGAAACTCAGGAAGAAGTATCTACCTTTTAAAGGGACATTTTGCAATTTTGTTTCTACTGTTCCCTTGACGATAAGTACGTAAACAAAGCACATAACTAACATGATTTATAGTCCAACTAAATCCGTTCTTCTTTCTAATAGAAAATTCATCCTATGTCTACATCAGTGAAAATTCATTTGAATAATTTGATTGTCACTGCACTCTTCGAAAGGAATTTCACTTCAAGAAAAACTTAAAAGATATTCTGCTTTCTTTAACCTAACCTAATGTTTTTAACGTGGCATTTTTCTCACGTAGATAAGACAAAATGGAATGAAAAAGCATGTTAGTGGCGTTGCTGATTAGCGCCTACCTCTGACGAGAAACCTTCAACGAGAATGGCAACTAGAAGATTGAAGAGAACATAATTGCCGAAAGTCATCAACGCCACGAAGTAGAGTGCAGCCCAGTGCGAGGTTTTCTGCATACCGTTGAAGAGGACGACGTTCCAATCTTCCTGCGTGAGGATCTATATAAAAAGAAGAGAGGGAAAGACTCCCGCTACATATATAGTGACGCATATATCTACATTTATCTGACAAGACACATGATCGGCAAGACGTTTTCGTTTTCAAAGCGTGCCGAAAGTGTTCTTACGTACTGTAAGAAGCATGCGCAGATAAGTAAGAATCTCACACATGTCTGATCAAAATTTCAAGTTACTTTAGCATATATTTGCAAAATGTAACGAATGTTCTAGAATATTTCAAATCTTTGTCTAAATAAAACAATGCAATGCACGAATACAATGAACTCTCCATATTAAAATTAACGACAATAGTTCTCAGGTAATTAATAGTTTTCAGGTAACTATGATAAAACTATCAAATAATTCAGTTCATAATTATGATAACTATAAAATAAATTATTATTATATAACAAAAAACTTGATCAAGTATAAATATTAAATTTATATATTATCGTAAATTTAAATTGCGTTGATCAATTCAATTAACAGTTTCTATTATGTTATTCATAGTTATAAATAGTTGTAAATTATGTATATCTTTGAGAATATAATTAATTACAGATGCGCATATATTCGTAGACTATTATTTAGCTGTTCTTATTATTTAGCTATTATTTAGCATCAATATTCTAGAAATAACTGAAGATTAACAATGAATCAGAGATTCATAAAGCTATGATTACTTGTGATATGATAAAGGACTATGAATACTGACTAATGTAGAACTGTATTTTATATACTAGTATCTAAAAGTAACATAATTATTCCATATGTGCACGTAAATTGGGTTAAACTAGGAAATGAGTGGTACATAATTTTGTGAACAATCACGTAAAGTTTAGAGTTGTTAATTAAAAAAGATTAACAAATGATTACGAGCGATTCAGTGTACTGCACTGAAATGCTTGTATTCATACATAGACCTACTAATACCAAATCGCCGATGTATATCGATATATATTATGTGGATAAAGCGATTTTTTCTATTACCAAATGATATACTTAACAAATATAACATTTCATTGCAATTTTTAGGGTTTTCACTCATTTTAACGGCAAATAAATTTCACTATTAATAATTTTACAACCAAAAAACTACAAATAAAAACAATAAAGACATAAGATTAAGGGTTATAAATGATCCATTTTCGAGGTTTTCACTCATTTTTCCCACACGTTGACAGCAAATGAATGTCAACGTGATTTTACGGCTAGAAGCCATCAGAAACTATGCAAATTTTATATACCGGCTTGGGGGCAAAAATCGGCTACATTTTACTCTTTTATAGAATCGGCTTAGAGGCGCCGTTTCTACCAAACTTTATCTACTGTATCACATGCAATCATTCGCTAATCTCTTTTAAATGATAACTCAAATTTTTATGTATCTGTTCAGAAAACTGTATGCAACTTTTGTATTTAGATTCACCCAATTTTTATGCACATTTATGAGATAATTATGTCACCGTCATACATCTTATATACTGAAAATGCTTCTATATATATATATATATATTTATAATATAATAATAATTATATAAACATTCTGTGTATGTATTGATATAGTTATGTCCAAGTCGTGTGATTTGTACAGAGAAATACGAATAAGAAGTAAACAATTCGATACATGTAAATTACATTCGAGGATGGAAACAATTTTTGAAACGTGATGTCAGTCAAATTGCGTTTATTAAGATCGCTTGAACACATGCAGTCGTAGAAAATAGATGTACAAATATGAAGAAAGGAAAGAAACGGAAAGATCAGTATCGCATCCGTACTGCATCCATAGTCGCGGGTGATACGCAAGAAACGTTTTGCCAACCAGTGTCACGGTATTTTGTGAAAATACATGCGTCCAGAGTGTCCCATCGCGAATCACTCCTCATGAATCTTTTCGCGTCTATCCACGTATACGTCTATTTATTTTTATCGCGAGACTCTCTTCGATTTACCCTCAATTTAACTTCCAGACTGATGACGCGCGATATGTCTGTTTCTAAATTAAGAAACCACTAATGGGATATATTACAAAAAAGAGAAAGAATTAATTCAACATTTACCGAGCGTTTAAGTGTTAGTAAAATTGTCATTTGCATGCGCGAGTCACAGCTATGTTAGAGCGTTACGTCAGACTCACGATAATTAATCAATCTTCGCGCGTACAAAGACATTCAGCGGACGAGTTTTGTTAACGATCAACAACATATGGATATATGGACGCAGCGTTCTACGAAAGGAAGGTCTAATTAATAGTAAAAGAAAAAAGTTACTATTCTGAAGTTAAGATTCTTCCAGCAGTTCCGCTGTGATTTCTTTGGATATATTCGGTTCTGTAACAGTTCGCACTGGAACTGTGAGCTGTTCGTTTGCAATAAACTGAAGTAGCATTCTTTAAATAATTTATTACATTAATATACTATAATACGATTTATTACATTAATGCACTGTAATATGATTTAATACATTAAGAACACTGGAGGGTCAGACTGTCTGAAAATCGTGTTTGTTTTTTCACAATTTTTTATGACAAACTGAACGAATGTGCGAAAGTGTTATTTTGACAACATATAAAGAGAAGAAAAATATAATTTTGATGAACAAATACTCAATATAAGTGTATGGTACATTTAAAATATATTTCGCAGTTCAAATATATTTCGGTTGTCATTTTGCAGTAATATCTTGACTCTCGGTGGTTCAATTAATCTGAATTTTAGGTAGAAAATTTCCGTAAACTCGTTATTATCGGGTGAACCACTGATAAACTTGTGAAAATATTTAATTTTGAAATATTAATTTTTTTTACTATAAAAGAACTGAAAATTTTAATAATATTCCATTAAGATATTTCCAATTTTGTTATCTTTTACTCAATTTTTATTATGTTCACCCAATAACGACAAGCTTACGGAAATTTTCTACCTAAAATTCAGCTTAATTGAACCACCGGGAGTCAAGATATTACTGCAAAATAACGATCTTGAAAGGAAAACAAAATATATTTTAACTGCATGTATCATACACTTATATTAAATATTTGATCATCAAAATTATATTTTTCTTCTCTTTATATGTTGTATAAATACGCGTCAAAATAACACTTTCGCATATTCATTCAGTTTGTCATAAAAAATTGTGGAAAAACAAGCACGATTTTCAGGCAGTCTAACCCTCCAGTCCCTTTAATATACTGTAACTTACCCGATGAAAAATTTTTCATGCAAAATTTTGTATGAAATTTGTCCATACATAATTATGTATAATTATATATAATCATATAAAATTATATATAATTATACACAATTATGTATAACAATATATATAATTACATATAAATTTATGTAAAATATGTAATTTATGTAATTACATATTTTATATGTAATTTATGTAATTTATGTAATTATGTAAAATTATATATGAATTTATATATATAATTATACATAATTATATATAATTATATATATAAGTAGAATATATATAAGTAAGAATATATAAGTAAGAATATATAAGTAAGAATATATATAAGTAGAATGTATGAACATGAATGGACAAATTTGATATATAATAATATATAATAATATATAATTATATATAATTATATATAATTTTATATAATTTTATATAATTTTATATAATTTTATATAATTATATATGAAAAATTTTTCATTGGGTATCTATGTATTATAACATATATACAAGCAAAGCAAGCACGTAGGATGATGAGTCGAGTCGAATGACTCGAAGGCAGTGCCGTTCCTTGGCGAAAAGCGCACTTATCCCCTTGTGGCAAATTGATACAATTTACCCTTGATTTTAATCGACAGCATACTCCGTCCAGATATTCATATGTCGATGTCAATGATATATACAATTGTAATGCGACTGTGGACATGTTATGTCACTATTTTGTGCCGTTGCATCAACTTACGTGCTCATAAGTAAATAGTCGCCGATGATACGTAATAAATTCTTTACTTATCGCAACAATAAATTTAGAGTAATCCCCGATACGTCATCCGACCGCACTGAGGGTGTGGGTGTAAACGAAAACACATGATGGGATGCGAGAAGCTCATTGGAACGGCTGTCAGATATACACACACGCATACACATTAGTCGCTTTGTAGATGATATGTGAACGGGGAATCGAGTTCAATACGCTCGCGTGTACACGCGTGCGCGCGCGCGCGTGTATGTGTGTGTATGTGTGTGTGCGCGCGCGCGCGCGCGTGTGTGTAATGCGTGTGTGTGAATCCTCTCTGTCGCGGAGTTTTCCATCTGCGAACGAGCGATGAGTACAATACGAAAAACGTAAATACGTCGACATGTATATCAATACATATATACCGCTGCACGCATATAAATACAAAGCAACCATTAAAAGGCTTTGTCGTCTGTACGAATAACAAGGGACGACAAGAATGGACCAAGTGTAAGTGGACGGTAAAGAGCAAAGGGATCGGGAATCCGTTTGCTCGACACGGGGAAATGTGTGTGTATAAAACAGGAGGGGGGGAGTATATATATACAGAGAAAACATATATAACAAGGACTCACAGGTGGAAGAAAATGTCGTGTAATTGTACAAAAGTTTGTCCACGCAAAGGTGGGTGCGCATATTGTGTGTGAATGTGTGTGTGTGTGTGTGTGTGTGTGTGTGTTTGTGCACGAGTGTCTTCTTAACACGTAATAATAGCGTAAGAGAGGGAGGAACAGTGGTACCTGAAAGACAGTGACTAGTGCCCAGACGATGTCGTTGAAATGTTTGCGATCACAGCGACACATTGGGTGCCGTGAGACCACCTCGGTACAGGTGCAGGGCCGACTCCGGTCCGTCCACATGCAAAACTTACCCCCGAACAGGTACATCCCTAGGATGCTGCAATCGAGACAATCTGCTGGCCTAAAGTATCCCCGCGACAGAGATCAGGAATTGGGGAGATGTGTGGAGAGAGTTACTGATGGTCTCGATGGAATTGGGACTCGGTAAGACCGTTTAGCAGTGCCTCCATTCTCGTTGCAGTTCGATCTCCAAGTTTCGCGATTAATTTCGCTGGCTGGTGTAATCAGTCAGCCATCACCTTCAACGCAACGAATTGTCGACGATACTTTTCCGCAGTGTGTTCGCACGGAAATTACGTGAAAATAATGATTGTAACTTTGTTATAAACACTTATTAAAAGAATAAAGAAATGTTATAGTAAATGTGTGAATGTACAATTGATGTATATATATAAAGGCAGAACAATAGAATAATGATTAGGACTGCTCAATTTAGAAACAGTAATTATTCGTTTTTTGACGAAAATAGCTTCGGTGTATTTCTTGAAATTGGAAAATATCGTCAATTACAATTACGTACAATGAGTCTACGATTTATGCGCTTTTAGATATAAATCCTAGATAGCCAACTGTCTGTGATTGCTGTGTGTAATCGACAACAAACTGGAATTAATTTAAACAAACTAGGAACAAGGTGAGACAGCATTATGTATGTTGCATTTAACTCACGTGAATTCCTCACGGCAAATTCAAATAACGGCAAATTAATGGCAATACGTTGACGCAGAATTGTAATCCGTTAAAAAGTTTTCGTCATGATGCTGACAACGTTGTTGCAAAGATATTCTACTATCTGGTTTATAAAAAGCACTCCATCTTTCAATTAGGACGAAAAAAAATTAAAAAACAAAGCAATTTGAAATTTCAGCATAAAGTTAACGATAACTTTCGAAAATATCATAAATTTTCGGACCTATATTTCTACTATCTGGTTTATAAAAAGCACTCCATCTTTCAATTAGGACGAAAAAAAATTAAAAAACAAAGCAATTTGAAATTTCAGCATAAAGTTAACGATAACTTTCGAAAATATCATAAATTTTCGGACCTATATTTCTACTATCTGGTTTATAAAAAGCACTCCATCTTTCAATTAGGACGAAAAAAAATTAAAAAACAAAGCAATTTGAAATTTCAGCATAAAGTTAACGATAACTTTCGAAAATATCATAAATTTTCGGACCTATATTTATGTCACCTTTTTTTGTTAACGAGAGACATGAGAGTATAAAATTTATATTTTTTTAAATACTTCCGCGAAGAGAAATGTTCTATTTATAATCGTGTATTGATGCGCGAGCTTTTCGATTTTTCCATTCGTCAGACACACGCTATTAATATCCAGTTCGAGCACATTTTAAACCGTGTAACGTTAACACTTTTAAGTTCATTAACTGTAATATGATTATATAAAACGTTAATTAATACGCGGGGGATTAAATTAGCTGCGGGATTAAAGAATTTTTCTCACAAAGTACAGGTTTGAGCTAATTCGCAATAATGTAATTTGTAAAACGGTTTGTAAAACTTTCGGAACCTTTGTATTTAAATCCTGTTTCTCGAGTTTGCTCCTCTCACAGAGTAGCGTCGAGATCTGTTTCGATGAATTTAGCCTGGAGAAAACGGAGACACTGCGTATCGGTGGAAGATTAAGCGAAGTGTTGGACAAAACAACGAAAACGACTGTCACTCGAAGCTCGTACAGTCACATTCTGCAAGTTCGGCATGTCTGTATAATATATATATGTATATATATGTATATATATATGTATATATATATATATATGTATTTTGTATCTGTACAATACAGGCGAATGCGTGTAAAGTAGGTATACATTTATGGGTTGTGAGCGAATCATATCAATTGTGTGCGCTTGTTTACGGGCTTTACAACGGGACGGAGTAAGGAGCAGAAATTAAAATTCGATTATACTTGTCACGTGCGTTATTTCTTTCCTCTCTCGAATATCTTTGCCCTCGAGTGAATATTTTGATAAGAAAGTATTTCAATTGAGTGTATTTGCAACTTTTTATGAACTTTAAATTACCTGACATCGACGACGATACACCAAATCGAATATTCCACTTGCGTTCGCGCAATAACATCATTTCTCGACAAATGTTGAACGAGATATTAATTGTATACTAACTGACAAAATAACCTTAACACATAGTGTAATTAGGTTACTTTTATAACCGTGCAAATTCGTTTCTGCATACAGAAAAATTCATATTGTATTCAAGTCAAGTATCTGTTTCAAAGATTTTACAAGTTTATATATCATATAAGTTCATTACGAGCATTAAATTTATTCATAATACATTCTGAATCTTATAAGTTTAACATTTTAGTCAAAAATATATTAAATTAAACAAAAAATTTGGTTTGCTCAATAAAGTTGAATCAACTGTTTTTTAAATAATATTTTATAATATTCTTGTTAGAAAATAGATACTTTTTTAAGCACATGATGATAAGTTTTTCTAAAATTTGTAATAAATATATCTTATATATATCTTAAGATTATTATTAAGAAAATATTCTTTGTTAAAAGTAAATATCACTTAAAAGAAGGAAAGCGAACTGAATAACCGCTTTTCTTAGCAGTAGAATATTTTTCTGTACGTGACTATTAACGTAAAGTTATCACAATGACAGCTTATTGTTTTATTGTACTCGCAAAGTTTGGAAAAATTATTTTTTAAGTACATAAAATTCCTTGCTTCGAAAATCTGATGTAGGACAGACTATACAGTAATACACATTTCGTATTTGTGACGTAAATTGTTAAATTTAAAATTTTAGCATCTATCCTTCATCATTTCGCCAACTGGAAGCAGCTCAGAATATTCTTTTGCAACACCACTATAGAGACAGCATAATCTTCCGAGGATACAAATCGACTTTTGTTATAGACTGACTGCGTTCATTGTTCTGCTTTCAAATCTGTTTCCATTCTACATTATCATATTAGATCCATTTTTCATTTCTCATTACTAATCGATTCAGAAACAAATTAGTGTTTAATCGGCCAAGCAAGGAATTGGCTGTAGAGATTTGGTCCATTTTATTCTCTTCTATCAGATTACGTGACACGTAAATATTGAGCTTTAAATTGTAAGTTTTTTTAAATACCGAAATACAGTCGATTTGTCGACGTTTAATCTTTCAGCCACTTCATGTGTCGAAATTCGTAAATTGATATCTATTAAATTGCACACAATGTCGCTATCAATGCCAGAAGGCCAATCGGAGTATAGCTGATTTTCGAAGTTAAAATCATCTCATTTAAATTTTGAGAATTGTCTCTCGCAGATTAAAATCAAATTATTTCCAAACACATCGCAAATATTTCTTACGGTATTCGAAATGCTTGTTCTACTTCGAAACTCGTACATAATTACACGCAAATAGACTCTATCAACATTCATCTTCAGTTTTACTTGAAGACAACTAAACTGATTCAAATCAATTTCTGTTTATTAAGCTAAAAGTATGGCTTTTTCAACGGTATATAATACATTTGCATATTTAAAGTGCAGCCATAAAACTGGAGGCAGCCATGACATATATCCTTCAGAAACCCACACGGAGAAAAATAATTCGTTGGCCCAGCAAAATCTTTTCGTTATTATATGGACAGCAAAAAGATTTGCTAAGAGTACTAATCACTATTTGCTGGATATAATTTGCTAAATCTACAAATTATTTTACTATAAGAACCATGATGAATTTGTATAGGCAGTTGCAGTTTTGCTTTAATAACAAATAAATTTGCTAAGGATACATTACTTTGCATCAATAGCAAATTAACGTGATTCTTAGGACAAATACACTCAACAAATTTTTTCTATCCTGGCAACGAAACTACTTCTGCTCTGATAACGAATAATTTAACTAAATTTTTAATAATTTTAATAATTTTAAATATATTTAAATATATATTTAAATATAAATATTTAAATATAAATATAAATATAAAAATTATTTATATTATTATTATTATTATTTATTATTTTAAATATAAATATTTTATATTTAAATATATATTTTAATAATTTTTATTTTTAATTAAATTTTTAACTAAATTTTTTTGATATCGCTACGAATATGTAATAGCAATGACGATTTTGCTAAAAGAGCAAAATTATTTTTCTCCGTGTAGTGGAAAAAAATAACTCGTAGTAACAATAGTGTTACAGATAACGCGTTACTTTTCGATTCTATTTTTATAACTTGCTAATAATTTAGTATTATACTATGTGTTAAGGTTACTTTGATTACCAATTAACGTTAATTTTAGGACATGCGTGTATAAACAACAATAAAATTTCTGACACGACATGACGTGACTCGCAAAAATCATAAGAAACATTTATCCGCGAGAGAATTATTCGTCTGATGTCATATTTACGCCGCACGGCTGACTTTTATCACGAATTCCATCATTGAAGCCAGCGGCCGACGCCGAATGTGCGCGAAATAAGGCAGATCTGAAATCATCAGAACCCGCGTGCGTGAAAATAAAAGGCGTGAAAAAAGTTCCAGGAACACCCGCCGGTCGCGGAAAAAAAGGGAGAAGAGCGTGGGAAACGAGACACCTGCCGTTGCAGAATGTCAGGGCGAACGTTTGCAAGAGAGAGAGAGAAAGAGAGAGAGAGAGAGAGAGAGGACGGGATGTGAGCGAATAGGGCGATAAGGGAGGGAAGGAGAAAAGTGGAGGCGGTTGCAAAGCGTAAATATAATTCTCTAATTCGCAAGGTACGATATACGTATATATACGTATATATAGATATACGGCGAATCTCTCTTAGTACTTGCAAAAGAGCGCACGCACAAAATCTACCGAGGGACTGCTGGTGTTAATAACACGCTGATGTCGATTCATGTGCCTAGCGCGCGTTCTACCTTTGTCTGTACACCTCTAAGATCATAATAAAGGCCAGTGTGTCTCCCTTTACTGCGACTGAGAAGTATACTAGCTTTAAACCTCGGATTACCGCGACTATCCCGACGACTAGGACACTATCGAATCG